TACATATTTGATCACTGCCTGTATATTAGGAGCTTTAAATTTCAAACTTTTCTCCTAACTGTCTCAAATTCTCCAGCAGGCAAAAATTGTGGAAAATTTGGTACAATTGACTCTCTGAGTTTTCAGAGCTGACTGAAAATGTTTGTTAAAAACCCAAAGGCAAATCTTAACGGCTTTCAGGATTCAGGAGCAGTGTTCACTATAAAAAGGCCCTGTTTGAAGCCAAGGAAATGCAACAAGGGAAGGAAGCTCATTTTTTTACAGGCAGACAGCAGGGGCTCTAGTGTCAGGGCTGACCCACAAACCCTGCCCTGCTCGTAGCCAGAAGATAAAAAACTCTGATATGGGGAACCGGCAGAGAAGATAACAACATACTGGATAAACATCAGTATCATTTACCCAGACACGCTAACTAGGCCGCTGAATGCATCACTGATACAGTGTAGGTAGGGCCTAAGAAATTAATGCTAGAAATTGTGACAAAGGCTCTGGACTGGACTTAAACACTGCACATAAAAAAGCACATTTATTCAACCTAGAAAGAATTATTAAAGTGATTTAAGCATTTTTCTTTACTAATTCATCTAAGTTGATTTGGAAATTAATGTCAATTTATTATATAGCATGACGTTTTCTTTTCCCTTGGCATTTTATCTTTTAGACTCGTCCTTTTTTCATAATTAAACTATTTCTGTCTAATTGTGCTGCATATAATACAGCAGGAGCAGCTAACAAACATGCTAATGTTAAAAGATGCTAACGAATGCCATTGTGCCAACAAAAAGAGCAGACTACTGCATTTGGTCCTCCTTTCTGAGGTTGTCTCTGTTGATTAGAATTCCTAAAAAATGCCTCACTTCCTTCACAGCCCTGACAGAGGAAACATAAGCATGTTTATTGTAGCACGCCTTCCTGTTTTCAGATTCTCCCTGATACCATGTAGCCACGGGTGTCCAAAGATGGCAGACTCTTTCCACTCTCTTTCTGATGGTATTGTCATGAAGAGCTGTGGAAACCTTAGGTAGATGTATTCCATATCATGAGCTCAAGGGACCAAACTTTTGACTTGAGGCTGTGGCAAAAGAAACGCCTCCAAGTCATACCACCTCACAGCTAAGGGTTAGAGATAAGGTTCTTGTTCATGCTGCCGTTCGCCCTTAAGGTATCCACTGATCTTCAAGAGGTTTCCAGTGGAGCTTCCCTCACATCTACAAATGAAACATCTGGATTCAGACTGTTTATGCCTGTGATTTGTCTTGAGGTGACAGATGATCTTTAAGCCACATCTACTTGTTGCTGCAGTTGCAGATAAACATGTTCTCTTGAAGTTCAGGAGCCAACTTAAGGCATTATCTGGATGTGACCCCATAATTTTGGGTCATATTTAATGATCATCTAAAATAACTTCTGATGTACCTCCCAAGCTCAAATGTAGTTCCATCAAGTTTGAATAAGAGTGCGTGCCAATTAGAATGCATGCCAATAATAATTTTTTATGGACATATTTATGCTAATCTGTAGAGTTCTCAACATCAACACTGAGCCTCTTTACCTTATCTCAGGGGTCTTGGCAAGCCTTGGCATACCTTAAACCCAGTGCACGAGAAGCCCATTGGCTAGACTTGAATCTTGAGAATACAAATCTCATAAAGAGGAATCCCTAGAAGACCACTGCCATGTTTTGCCTGCAGTTGGACTAGTATTTAACTGGGGATAGTGTTAAGGTGCCATGGTAATGTGGACCAAGGAGCACAAGGGGCTATGAGAAGAATGTGCTCCACCGTTGACAGGAATGCCAAGAATGTCTGTGTAATTTTATCTAAATCCCCCCTGCTGCCAATGATTACCTGCGTGTCCATCATGGCGAGACATGGCCTGGCGTGTAGGTAGGAACAATAGGCCGATGCTGCTCCACACTATCCAAGCCATACCACGTTATCTGCCGTGTTATTAGAGAATTCCTCTTCCAGCAGGAATTCTGAAGAACAATTCAAGCCACAGAGTGAGGTGGCGAGTGCACACCATGATTTTATCAAAGCTAAGCTGAATAAATCATGTGTTTGAGATGCTGCTTCTTATAGCCCAAGTTTCTACACACTGGTGCTTTAGGGGCCGTATCACATTTTCACATCATGCTAACTTCTTTTTTTTTTTAGCACTCACTTCACAATTACTGGTGAAACAATTATGGCTGGGGTTGAAAACTGAGCTTGTTGTTTTGTTCCAGCATGTGCTATCAAAGTGCACAGTTGGGACTGTGTCACAGGAAGCTGAGGAAGACGCCAATTGTTCTGAAAAATGAAAAAAAAATGTGATGACATCATTTTGAAGAGGTGTTTTCTGAACAACCTTTCAAGATGAAGCTAATGTCTAGGCTTCACGAGGAACCAAATTATACAAAATGTTGCCATAAGTTCTTTTTTTTTTTGAAAATGACTAAAAATAAAATCCTGCTCAACAACATTGTTCTCAACATGCTTTTATATTAATCCCTTTATCTATTCTGTTTTCAATCCGTTTCTCTTTCTTTATGTAGCATCACATTATGGAAAGTCCACATTTCCCATGGCTTCTTTTTTCCCATTGAAATACATGTTGTGTCTTGACTTTGATTCAGGGAAAAAGGCTGAAAATCAGGAGGGTTCAGCTGTCCAGGATGTGCATTGTGACAAGAATGGACAGCAGGAAAGCTGCCTGACCGTGTTAAGGAAGTGGGCTGAATGCAAAGTGCTTGGGAAGTGGGCCTCCCAGTTCTAGACCTGCGTCAAGACAAGAGATACTATTTGCATATAATGCCCTACAAAATGATACACTGATTAAAAAACGAATTACAGGTAATATGGCTCAGCCTTAAAGCCTATGGGCCTGTATATGGGCCCACACTTAAATTCCTCACTCTGGAAGCTACATAACTTTGTTTTAGTTTTTTTAGCCATTGTTTTGTAGCAGTAACTGAAACATTCATGACGGTGTCTAAATGGAAAGGAGAACTTCACCAGGTTTTCAAAATTTCAGCACAATTCAGTGAGTCATTCAGAGTGGTTGGATATGAAATGTTCCATTGTAGAGAAACATAAAGAGTCAGATTTCTTTACAATGGTGGTGATAGGAACCAGGGTCACAATGTCTACAAAGCAAAAAATAGTCATTTTATTCACTTTCCAAAATGATCAGTGAACCCACATGTCCTCTGAGTTTTTATATGTAATGTTGACAGTGACAAAATGGGGGTAAAACTGATAAAAAAGCTTTTTCTTTGCCTACTGTTTTACTTTACAATGTCCTGCATGTACCTCTGTAGTATGAATATGCTTTTTTAAATATGGTTAAGGTCAAACATATCTCAACACTATCATAAAACAATGTCTCAGGCATCATGCAGCATATTCGTAACCATTTCATGTCATAACTTTCCATGAGGGCGCGTCTAGAGGCATTGAATTGTTCAGACGTCTGGTTCCTATCACCATCGCTGTGAGCAGTTCTGACTCTGTAGGTTTCTCTAGAATGGACTCTGAATTACTTAATTAATCTGACATTAAAAGTTTATTTACTTAAATATGCAGAAATGTTTGAAAAAATCTCCTTTTAAGTTGTTTAGATCAGCAAACTCCAGCAACTCTTAGAAATTTCTTTGTAATTAAGTTCATCTCTTGTGTCTGGTCATAATGGTCATTTTCACAGGTGCAGTGATAAGTTTACTTTCATGACCACCTCTTGACCTTTAATCTCTCCGTGCATATTTATTTGGTAGATACTGATATGGTTGGTCACACATGTTTTGTGTCATGAAAAGGCCATTGTGGCTATATGATGATGACAAACATGAGTACGTGGAGGGATAGAAACACAATTGCTTTGGTGGTCACACACAGACAGAGGGGAAAGCATGTATGGCAGAGATATTTACATACAGTCAGCCAGGCTTCCTGTCTTTGTCGGGCTGAGAGCATTTTTTTTTCTCCCATTGATGTAAGATCCACTCTTTCCTGTGTAAAAGGAGGAAAATGCCATGTGATTACAATAGTACCAAAACAGGACAAAAAGGAAATGTTTAAATATGTGTGGAGTCCCTGCATCTTGTCTCTCTGAGCGCAATTTGAACATTTTTCTGTGCCAGTTTCCCGGTATTTTAGTTGTGATGACTGTGTTGTGAGGACAAACACTGAGATGATTAACTGAGATGAAGTTTGATTAACAAAAGCCCACTAGCACTCCCTTCTATCCTGTTCACAACTGAAGCTACTGTAGCTACAGTAGAACAGTAGCAAAAATAACTGGGACTAGACTGCTGATTTGGGCGTTGTGCCAAACGTGTGTGTATGTTTGGTCATGTATTTATCTAGTTGTGGGGACCAAATGACACTCAGGTTAATGGAAAATGTACATTTTGGCACTGGGGTACCTTTTGTGGGGACCTCACAAGGAAAAACAATTTTTACATAAAAAAAAAAAAAAACGGTGACACTTTCTTTTGAGGTGAAACAAACACTCAACGGACTCTCAGTAACATGTCGAAAACAAATGAGGGTTAGGATTAGGTTCTGGGTTGAGGTTAAGGTTAGGGTTAGGATTAGGGCCAGGGTTAGGGTTAGGTTTTGGGTGAGATTGGGTTTTGCATAATGGAAGTAACATATTAACAATACATCTACTTCATGTAAGTAATGTGCCAACAGTACATTTTCAGGAAATTTACTTCAGTATATTCAGATGCTTCACTGCTGCTACTTCACTGATATGTTATTGATGTGTTATTGATAATCTGTTAAGAGATTATTTATCATCTACAAAGGACCACTCCAAATATAGTATCACCAAAAAAACAGCCTTTCGGTAACTGAGGTTAAGGTTAGGGTTTGCTGATGTAGACATCACAGCATTTAACCACAGTAATTCAGAAGTCAACGGAGATGCCCCATAAAGGCAGGAAAACAAACTGAACGTGTGAGCGTGTGTTTGTGCGCGTGCTCGAGCGTGCACGCGCTTGTCGCATATCTCAGTGTCGGCGTCTGTTCAGTCTCTTCAGGGCAAGAGTTCAGCACTTTTACTGTGCCGCTGCTCTTCGGGAATGCGGGGAATCTCCGAGCTTTTTTTAACGCCGTAAAGTTTTCGGAAAGAGTCTGGGGTGACTAACAATGCTAAAATGGGGCTTTAGAGTTTTTTGCAAAACTTTCTAATCGGTCTCCTCATGTCCAGAACTAGAACTGACATCAGCCTTTGAAGTTCCAGATGGGAAGACTCCTGTAAGGTAAAAATTTCGCTATGAACTCGTCTGCTAATGTCAGCATGCTAAGCTATTACTCTTGTGGTAGTGTAGACAGTGTGAGCGTAAACTTGATTTAAAGCTATAGGCCTTTGTTGTTTGAACAAGTGCAGTTTATGGACGAAATGGTGATGTCATTCTACACAGCAAATCTAGCTACAGTGTTTCAGCTAAGCCAAAATGAAGTGTTCATTTAGCTCTGAGGATCTGCTATGTAGGGAAGCTTTAGAGGAATAAAACTGTTAAGCCTAATCTCAAGCGGGTATCCCGTAACTTTGACACAAGTTGGCACAAAACGCTTTTATCATACAGATTGGCAGTTGTCTTTTTCTGTCAAACTGACACTTTTACAAGGTTTTGAACTTCATTTTTATCGTTTGCAGTAGAATGATGTTGAACTGTTTTCATTATTGCTTGAAATAAGACACAAATCTGCTTGGGGTTAAATAAAGTAAAGTGAGGAAAAGGTGAATGGCGGAAGACCACAAACTATAAAGATTTATAAAGATCTCAGCGAAAAGACTATTCTGAAAGAATATGTGCTAATATGGGTGACGTAATGAGATAGGGAGAGCGGGTGAATTTGCTGACTTACTTACAGCCAAAGGGGACAAATAAAATGGAGTAGTAACTGCCCAGTAGTTTGTAAGATGTTATAGGACTTAGTGTTCTAGCTTTTCCACCTTAATCAGCATGGTTGACGCCCTTTTCCTGTATTATAATTATTCTGTTGAGGCCTTTTTGTGTTGATTCTTAATTGATGTGGAATAATTTCTTCAGTTTTTATCCCACACAGTGGTTCCTATTAACTGATTGTTGTAATGAATTAGCCATGCATCTTGAAAATAATGTATAGCTCAGTACAGCCCTTAAATAATCTGTGCTGTCAGTGGTTGGAGATAGCATATCAGTATAAGTGAGTATTGGCATTGGGACAATTTCAACAGCAAATGCTGGATTGGATATCAGAGGTTAAAAAAAAAGTATGAATCTAATCCAATCCCATAACAAATCTACCCTGTAATACCACGTTGTGTGTCATATTGTTAGCTCTGCATTTCTTCCTGTGGAGTAGTAGAGTGTTTGAGTAGGTTGAGCATGGTGGTCTACTTTTAGATGCTCATGTTAAGTGAAATGCTTCAATTAAAAAACAGCTTAGCAGTTTTTAAAGAAAAAATATTGATTTGTCATCAGGTCAGTTTTAGTTTCAATATCAGTATCATTATTAAAAAATAAAAAGCCATCTCCGTTTCACATTTCTTACTCATTATTTCACTTTTTGTTATCTGTCTCTTAGACATTCAGGTTGATCACAATGGTGCTCCGTAAAGTCCAAAGCTGACATCATATCTAACAATGTGAGAGGATGGACAACGTAGCCAGCTCCGTGTCTGAATGTAGCGATTCCAATGGCTACGTCAACAAAGTCTTCAATGTCTCCCTGGACATGGAGAGCGAAACGGGGATTGTGCGAATCCGGGAATCCAAATTTGAGGATCCTGCTGCCTGTCAGACGCCCATCAGAGAGAAGCAGGAGCCCAGCCGGGGGCCCAAGACTGCTGGCATTTGGAGGATCCTTAATCGCCGGAGGGTTGCCTCTGACAATGAGAGGAGGCCTCACTCCATGATCCTTCCAGGGGAAGCGTCCATCCCCAAGCTGTCATTTGCTGACAAGGTAAGGGGTTTCAAAAAGTTGAAGTCCCCCTCTGTCTTCAGAGGGAAAACTGGTAAGCTCTCCAGTGCTAAGTTCCACAGTGGGCTTAAAGATGAGCCAAATGAAGACAGCAGGGACTCTCCTGCTTTGCTGCACTCACAGAGGAACATACTCAGGAATAAAGGCAAGAGACATTCATATGCTGGCTACACTACTGAGTTTGACTGCTCTTTTGAGGACATAGACCTTTCTGCCACACTTGAGAATGATCAGTTACCTAGCCATCAGAATGGTTGTAAGACTGTGGAAAGAGTCACATACACAAAGAAAGCCCACTCCAACTTTTCCAACTGCAACAACTCCTCTGTGACGGTCCATGAGGAGCGTCACGCGAAGGATAGCCCCAAGGTACCTCAAGGAGGAAGACGCTCAAAGGGGGGTGATGTTTGGAATTACTTGAGGAGAATTTCCTTTATAGGAAAGGGAAGTTCAACTTTGTTGGAAAAGAGTTTTGATTCCATGCATACACTGGACAAAACAATTGACTCTGACTATGGATCTGTTGACTTAGAATGTATCAAAGACTTTAATCGTGCACCTAAACAAACAGGCCCCGATGTCAAGGGTGGTCATTTTGGAGGCCTCTTTAGGTTCTTTAACAATGTAGCTGAAACTGCCCGGAAATGGAGGAACTCATCCAAGTCCTTCTCACCTCCTGAAGGAGAACGCTCCCCGGTTGGCTCACCGAGAACGCAGCGGATCGGAATAAAGAGCGAAGATAAGGCTGAGGCCTCAGCTTTTGCTAAGTCTGCTGCCTCTTCTGACATTTGTGAGGTGATTTCACCTGTTGAAGCTGTGAGTAGATCACCTCGCGTGGTGCTAAAATCCTGGAAAGCATGCCCAGACTCATCAAGTGCCAATGGATTCCAAGGCAGTGTCTCAGATGGGACAGAATCCCAGCTAACCTCCACTCACACCTCTCTGGCCACCATTGAGAATCACCAGAGAAGTGATGGCCCAGAGGGGAGCTCCCTGTCTGAGCCCGAGCTTCAGTTCGACCTCTTGGCACATGAGCAGAGCGAAGCTGGATCTGAGGCTTCTGCCACTACAGACAAAATCAAAGACCTGGGCAGTCAAATGAATGGTGAAAAAAGAGATATTTGTAGCAATAGAGAGATAGTTTCGGACTGCCCAGATGAAATATTTAAGGTAAGGATTGTTTTTGAATGTTTAGCTCTGTGTTTGTTTTCAATGATTGCTGTCAACCGAAACTGGATGTGTTCACATCATAAAAGAGTGAAAGAGATTTGCTTACTGAAAGTTTTTGATAATAACTAGCATTGTTCATTTTTCATATCATGTCATATAACAATGTCATTGCTGTTCATTCCATGACTAACCATTTCAAATTTGCACAACAGTCCTGTTTTGTCTTCATCAGAACAATAATATTTTGATGAAGAAGATGACACTCACTGTTTAAACATAAGGAATTTCCTTTAGCTCCATCTATTGAACATCAGAGGTAGAGCAATTAAGAAGAACACAGAAAACAACAGGCAAAATCCCCATTTAATCTCTCTGACTAGAAATTAGCAACCCTCCAGGGAAATAAGTTATTTCCAATAGCTCTTTATCAAACAGCTTGTAGAGCTCAATTACCTGGGCTGTTAGAGGATATGAGTCATGGTGCATTTCAAGGTAAGCATCATCAGCAGCCTTTTTGTCTTTCAAGCTCAAGCTGGGGTTTCTCTTTGAAGTTCCATTCGAGGCTGTTAGCCCCATGAAATAAGTTGCGGTGGTCCAGTATGATTTGCTTTAAGTTTTGTCCCTTTTCTCAGTGCTGAGGAAGCAGGCTTTTGTGGACGCTACGGGTCCCTGTACCCTTACATTCAGGTCACTCAGATTTTTCTCTCTCCCATAACCACTTGCCTAAAATAGGCCTCGGCAGGTGGCTGTTGCTTGGGTGAGGGAAGTCCAAGACGCTTCAGAACCTCTGGAGCAATGAGGGTTCCCCCTCCAAAAAGACCCCGGCTGCGGCCTGCGTCGGTGTGTGTGGCTGGGCCAAGTTTGCAGTGTCCCACCATAATGGAGGGGGTTCTTTCCTCCGGAGAGAAGGAGCAGTGTCACCCGTGGGGGTGGCAAGGTTGCTCCGGTATGTCTCAGCTGCCAGTTCCGAGGAGGCCCCGTCCTCTCAGGAGGCCACAGTCTGTCATAGAGGGACAAGTACTCGTCCAGCCCAACTCACTGCAAGCACAGCGAGTAAGCCATCAATCTTTTCAGGCAGAGAATGGATGGATTGTTAGCATTTTTATTGGTTATAAGGAATGCCTCCAAGGTGGTTCCAGGACAGTGGATAACCAGTCCTTAACTGTCATGAATTAGGAAAAGTATTAAGCTCCATCAGTTTCCACTATAAACTGTATAAGCAGTAAGTGAAAGTATAAACTTATTTGCTTAGTTTTTTAGTAATTTTTTGTAAATAGCGACAAACTTTGAGCCTAATGTTAATTTAAGGGGCATAAATTAATATTGAAGTGTCACATCTTTCACTGAAGTAAGTCATGCCATATCTAAAAATGCTAACATGCTAATCCTCTCTATACATTGTTTTTCTTGAACTCTAGTAGTTCACTATGAGGCTATGAGTGCAACTTAGTCTTTACAGTGTGATTAAAATGTTAGGACAGTAAAAGTGTACACTATACAGATTTTAAAGGGGCCATATTGTGCCTCATTACAAAAACAGTACAAGCTAAATGCTCAGAATTGAATGTAACTTGAATGGGCGAGCTTATCTGCTGAATGGGCATATATATATGCAAATATGTTGGTTTGTGCTGTGGAACTGAGCACAAAAACAATGAATTGCAGCTTGGTTTCCATATATGGACCACATAAACTGGGCAGTGATTAATATGTTTTTAAGCTTTAATATTTATATACAGTACTGTACAAAAGTCAGAGACTACCCTTGACTTGATTTAATTTCATTTCAAAACAGCCAATAAGTACAAGGCATTAATTTTTGGGGTAGGAAAAAGTAGGAAACATATATTTAACAAAATTAAATTTCAAACTTTTTGGTATTTAGTTTGTCCACCCTTTGACTTGTTTTCAGTTTTTCAAAGGAATCTGCAAAAATATTTTTGCATGCTTCTTGTAAATGGAAGTTGGTTGTATTTTACATTTCTGATAATCCAAGTAAGCCACAAATTTACAAATTTGGACTCGTCAATCCATAAAACCTAACTCCATATTTCAAATGTCCAGTTTTGAACATAAAATTTTCTTCTTTTTTATTTTTTTTTAAATCTTTTTTCTATATCTTTTCTCAGTAATAACTTCTTGACAGCTCTTGATACATCATTTGAGAGCCATAGCATTGAGTTGTCTTCTCACAGTGGAAGGATGGACAGAAACACCTGTGATTTTTTTCAGATGTAAAGCATTGTAAAGCTTGGTTATATCTTATTTCTCAAAGATGAAAACGTTAAGTACTGTTTATTTGATGTTAACGGTTTTGGTGGTCTACTATGTCTACTTTTATATATCCTGAGAAATATCATTTTGAAGATTTAATAATTTGTACTTAATGGCTGTCTTGACTGGCAGTTAAATAAATGCAGGTTGGTCTCTCATTTTTGCAAAATACTGTACTATATCAAACTCAGTTATTTAGAATCATGGAGAAATTGGATTGTGGGTTGTTTTTCCATGATATGGGCCCTTTAAAATGTCTAGTTTGCATGCAGCATTGATAAGGATGAAACTCTGCATAGAATCCTCCAGAGAAGTGCTATTTTTAGTTGCCTGAGCTTCCCCACGATTCAAGTGAGACTGCTTACAGAAAATCATAAATGTGTTGCCATTGTGCAACTCTGTTTGCCATTAGGATTGAGATACTCTCCTGAGAAAAACGTATCACTGGTGAGGCCTGACCTGCACAACCTCACAAGCATACCACTAACAGCTTGGAAGTGAATCACACATACATGCCTGCATTTTCTGATTGTGGAGCTCACATCAACTTAGCATTTATGCACTCTCAACAATCCTCTGCATGTGTTGGCCCAGTTTTTTCCCAAGCAACTTGTATTTTTAGATACTGCTTTTCTTGCTTGTGCACTCCCATTGGCCATTCCACTTCCCTTGAGTCATTCCCTGCTTCGATTCATCCACTCACCTGGAAATGATTCAGAAGCTTACATGATTCATGTGGCCATTGATAGAGTTAATAAGGCCAAACTGCTGTGTGTTGGCCAATGTACAGCATCTAATACTATCCAGTGCATTTCAGGCCCTTTCTCGCCCTCCTGGCGTGTCCCCCCGAGACCCTCCTTTTAAGGTGGTGCTCCAGAGATGTCGCTCACTGCCTCTTCCCCAGACATCCTTGCCTGGACTGGAAGCACCCGGCCTGCCAGAGCTGCTAACTCAACCAGGTACTGTTTAACACCTGATACAACAGCTGCTTGCATTTTGCATCAGTTCTTTAACCCTTATCGTTAGCGGAAATATAAGCATGTTGTAATTTTATATTTACGCAGTTGTAGTTGACATAAAAATCAAATTGTGTATACAAATAGAGAAGATGTTTTATTATGATTTGAATTTTATGAGAAGTCTTATTTTGCAGAAAAGTGCGTTCTTTTACATTTTGTGTCTGTCACTGATCTTAATTTACAGTCAGAAGTGCTCAAGCCTGTTCATACAGAATATAAATATAATTTGAGTAACTTACTATGTTATTAATAGTGTATGTCAGTGATGTAATTACATTTGCATGGTAGAGCAAAACAAGCGCAAAACAAAAGTAATATTAGACTAAGGGTTAAAACTGTCTAGCAGCAGCACACACACAAACACATACACAGATATAAACACAGACACACAAATATAGTTGTATGCAAAGGTTTAAACACTTATAGTCAAATTACATGTTTTGTTGACTTTCTACTTTTCTAAAATAAGTTAACACACCCTCTACAGGGAGCAGACTTAAATATGGCACTTCTCTGCAAAGTTTAGTATAGTTACATTTTAAAATATTGGAAAATAAAAATAAAAATATAAAATGTTCCATGACTTTTGCACAGGCCACATTTTATGTTTTATTTTTTATCTAATCAGAAATGGAATAAAAATACTACCATTCATTTGTGCTGCATTTGTGCTGGTTTGTGCTGTTAAAATAAATGTTTGTGCTTTTTCAATTCTCAAGTTATAAAGCCACAAAGTTTCAATGTATGATGTCACTCAGCTTTGGTCTCATTCATTTGTGCTGTGTTTGTGCTGGTTTGTGCTGTTAAAGTAAACATTTGAGCTATTTCAGTTCTTAAGTTATTAAGCGATAAGGTTTGATGTGTGATGTCATACAGCCCCCCATCAGCGGCTAAATAGCACCCAAATGGTCTCATTTGTGTGCTGGTTTATGTCGTTAAAATAAATGTTTTGTGCTGTTTTAATTTGTAAGTTCAGAAGCAATAATGTTTCAATGAGTGATGTCCCTCAGCCCCCCATTGTGCCAAAACAGTCTCATTTGTGCCAAAATGGTCTGATTCGTTTGTGCTGTGTTTGTGCTGGTTTTTGGATAAACATTTTTTGTCATGACCAGTGGCATCATTTACCACACAGTTATCTCTGGCTGATGATGAAGATCTGAGAAACACACTTTTTCCCTCCCGAGCAGCCTGTATCTGTGATTACCACAGAGATATCTGGCTTTTTAACCTTTAATTATTCAGCATTCCAAAGTTTCACATCCTGGCTCACTGTAGCTTCACTGACACAAGTTTTAGAACAAAGACACAATTCTGAGCAACTAAACTTGTGTATTTGTGTTTGGAGCTGTTATCCTAAGCTACTTTTGTTCCGCATTCGACCATGTTCGCTAGAAGCTAGCTTGAGAAGCTTTACACACAACCATGCGGTTTCACTTTGGTTCATTGAAGCCTCGCTGATGCTAAAGAGTAAAGACTCAAATCTGAGCAAATAAACCTGTTCTTTTTTGTATGGAGCTGTTGAAATAAGATGCTTTTAATTTATATACTTGTTTGCATCAGAGGCTAATAACATGTCAGTCCAGCACCTAACAATTGGTGCTGGACTGACATAATGACAGAATCTTTCTGATTATTAATGTTACAGCAGGAGCCCATTTTTGTTTCTGTTTTGAATCATCTGTTCTGCAGGGTTGCCAGATTGTCTCTGTAGTTTCTGTCTAAAAAATGTTCAAAACCTGTGAAAATGCATGAAAAACTGCCCAAAAAATAGACATTACAAACAGCCTAAGGTCATTCTAACTTCTAACCATAATATGAAATAATACAGCATTTAACCAACATGGCATCAATAATAAGCTTTTGATTTCTTGCCAAATATTTCTAGATAAGTATTTAAAATGTCACTAGATAGCACTGTTGGCCTTTTAAATAAACATGTTAATTTTATCACCGCTGCAAAGAACCAAAAGCTTTTCGTAATCTGAAAATGCCTGGACAGAGAAAATATAGATCATTTAAATTAAATTATTGAATTATTTGATTTGTGTCTTATTTCCATGACTTGCAAAACTCATACAAACTCACTAACATTGATAGAGTATTAACATTTTTCAAGTTGTGTTTGATAGGACTCATGACCCCATGTGTCAGAAAGGCAAATAATTAGCAATAATATTACAAGCATAACTATTCCTCACACAAATTTTTTAAAAACTTGTTTACCTTTCTACACTACGCCTGTAGCAGAACTATGTACAGTCAGTAGTGCAGAGTGAACTGGATAATCTATGCCATGTTTGAAAACCCACTTTTTCTTCTGCCAAATCTGATCAAAATCTGACCAAATTGGTGAGAAATTGTCCAATCTGGCAACACTGCTGTTCAGTCTGTAACCTAGACAGAGAAGATGTACAAGGTAGTGGTGGGGAAAGGGCAAAGTTTAGAAACGAGGCAGCAAGGGAATGTTCATAATTTGCATAATCATGCACATTCATAGATCTTCGCATTCTTAATGCAAATTGAGGTTTAGGGGTGCTCCCATGTGATTTACAGTAGTTTCTAGGGCATAACAGTTAATGCATAAATATATTAAACAATTTATTATTCAACATAGATTTTTTTGTGTTTAATTCATGACTTAAGGGGCTAAGAATGTATAAAAAAACTAAATAAAATGTAAAATGTGGCCTGTGCAAAAGTTATGCAAATGTTTTGGGTTTTTTTTCAAAATGTTAAACCCTGGAAATCATGCACTAAAAGCAGCAAAAAATATACATATATATTTAAAATATTAATATATTTAAATTTGTTCCATCTGTTTGGTCTAAGACTTACTTTTATAGATATATTTATTTGTTGCGACACATTTTCATGACACTGAGACCTCCATTTGAATTACATGAACAAGCCAGTGAATTTATACCTGTTTTTATCATTCATGTTTACCCCTTTTGTCAGCCGGATGTGTCCCTCAGTCAGCCACTGTCCGGCTACGGAATGGCAGCACAAGGTCCAGTCGAAGGAAACTGCTCAGGCCTGGTTCTGGACCTCTGCAAGTGAACATGGTGAGTGAACCCAGTGAACCTTTATTCCTTTGCTATCTGACCATTGTCAATGCCTAATTAACTTGCTTTGAGCTGTGGACTCTCTGTCTGCTTTCAGTTTTCAAAGCATTAGGAAATATTGCAATAAGAGACAAAAATTCACAAACTCTTGGGATTTATTGCAATATGCTCATCATATTGCATTATAGTTAGGTCTGATCATTTTATTATCCATATATAATGTACTGGGCTCTTTTCTCTGTGTAATGGTTTATTAGAGTTCAGTTTGCCAGAAAAAAAAAAAAACATTAATTGTGTCTTTTTAATGTCAATATAATGTCTTTTTTAAAAAAATGTCTTTTTAAAGACTGCTTATACATCAGGTATGCAAGGATAATACATTGAATAGACTTTTACCACTAATGCAACAATTGTGCTTCTGTGTTTCTTTATTGAAGTTTTGATAACATAGGGTTGTATGTCCTTTTTCAGCTTTTTAAGACAACTGTTTAATTTCACCCTTAGATTTATATTAGATGAAAGCTGAAATAAAACATGCATTACATAATTTTTAGCTTGACTTAAAAGACAAGGCTCCAGAGCTTAATGTTACGCTGTAGAATCTTGTTAATTATTTTGCTTGGGAATTAAGGGGAGCTGTCCCCCTGACGTGTCTTCCTTATGCAAAAAGGCACTTCAAACACAACTTTCTCCTTATAATCTTTCTATTCTTGTCCGGCATCACCATACAGTCACCTGATTGTGAAGGCGAGCATGTGTTATGAGGCAGGTGATTACTGCCTCATCAGGAGGCTCTGTTGCTATGATATTCGTAGGTGCTTGTTTTCTTACCGATTCTATCTTTGGAAAGCCCCTTTTGTCTGAGAACAAGAGCGTTGAGAGCCTGAGAGAGATTGTGAGAGAGAGAGAGAGAGAGAGAGAGAGAGAGAGAGAGAGAGAGAGTTAAATAGAGAAAACGTGTGGGCGCAAGACCATGAGTGCGTGTGCTCTTGTAAACTGCATCTTCAGGCCAGACCAGGCTTTAAATACAGAGAATGAAGGTATCAAAATGTGAATGGGGGAATCTGTCACTATAGGCTTCAATAAGGAAGCTTACTCATAGGGCTGTCACTGGCAAAAATATTAATACTTGATTATTTTGATGATTAATTAATATTTCTTTTTAAGAATCATCAATAGAAATGGATTTAAATGGAAGTTCCATAGATATTTCAAAATCTCTGCGTGTTGAGAATGGTGCTTTGTAGAAAACTAACCTCTGAGGCATACTTTCCTTAAAATGTTGTTGATATGAACTAGGGGGTGCGCTGTCTACAGCACAAATGTGTACATATATATATATATATATATATATATATATGTATATATACATATATATATATATATATATATATATATATATATATATATATATATATATGTGTGTGTGTGTGTGTGTGTATATATATATATATATATATGTATACGTGTATGTATTATTTGTATCCCTTTCATGTAATAGCTTTCTATGAGGGACCTTTTAGAGGCATCTGGTTTACCACTGCTGTGAACAACTGTAGTTTCTCTAGAATTGTGCATTTCACATCAAACAACTCTGAATGCCTTTGTTTACATCTTACATCTTACAATTGAACAATAACAAACTGTGTATGAACTTTACAAAATATATTATTAGAGGAAGATAAACTAGGATGTCTTAAACAGGTATGAAGAAACGTAACAATGCATATAGGTGATTCAGTTAGTTTGGCCTGAATAATTCGAATACTAGAGTATTCATTTGTTATGTTGGTATATGTTTTTTAATTTAGCATTTGAAAGCTTCATCTTTTTTTCAGTCATAAACATTGCAGCCTAAAATAAATGTAATCAGCAAATGCCTTTAGACAGAATATCATTGTTCATAAATGAAAAAATATTAAAAATAAATAAATTATGGCTGGTTTAGTTAGATGCCTAAAAATAATGTCAGGTATTTGCTCACCTGGGAGCACAACAAACTGCACCCCTTTTTTCCATAGAGGTGCATTTGTATTGAAATTGTGGGCTGATGCCGATATCCAGTATTTTTCATGTACATATCTGCCAATGCTGTTACCAATGCCAGTAATGTTGGCACTAAATCTACCTGGAATACAATAACTGAGAAATGTGACATTCATTTCTATAGGGTTACAAATGCAGTAAAATGAATAAAATGCAGACATTTTATTTTTCTAGCATCATCTAAATAGTCATTTCTTCTACAATACGATAAATACCTCATCAAATATCGATACAAAATGTTAGTCAAATCTAAATATATGCTGTTATGATTCTGTTATTATTATGCATCCCTATCTTAAAGAGCAGAGATACCTAATAAAGAAATCAGACGTGTGAAGCACTTTAAATTATCGGACCAAAATTGCTCAGTGCAAAAGAGGCGGGTTTACCATTGAGCATAGGAAGTTTGTATCATCTCAGATATGTAAGGATAGTGACATGTATCACAATACTGCCATGCTTCCAGTCCACACTGTCTCCGACTCACAACTGATTCATGTGGGAATATTAGCTCCTTTTCTCCTTTTGTTTTCTAATTAAACAGTTTTCTAGCAGGTTTAGAACTTGACAGCGTAAACAGCAGGAAATCATAATCAAATTTCTACTGTTGAATCAGTAGAGTCCCCTTCACACACTGTTAATACAGAGCAGGAGCTGTTCTGAAACTACTGCAACAAGATCATCACATCAAAGTAAATGATCATGTTAAATATAGTTTTGAAAACCATAGAAAGTGGGAGTGTGTTATTTGACTGGTTCTCTATAGTTAGGCTTCAGTTTTGTGTGCAAGTGAAAATTCAAAACACCTGTTTTGATGGACAGAAAATGTATGCATACTGCAGCCAGTGTAAACATTGGTTAAAGAGCCCATGTCCTGCATTTTTTCCCCCAAGGTCCACTTATGATGTTTATGTGGGTTTATCAACAAACATAGTTTCTTTTTTACATGACCATTTTACAGCCTCTCTTCATTCCTTAGAATTAAACACTGGTTTTGTTACTGTGAATTTAAGACTGACTTATGTAAATGACCTCTGTTCTGATTGACTATCCTGTATTGTACTATTTTCAAATATAGTCCAGGCTGAAACAGTCCTTATAACGTCAGCATGAATGGCTGGAGCCAAACTGCTATAGCTGGATATATGTAAATGCATAGGTTTTTGGGACATAATAAAAATAAAAAGTGGTACTTTTTAAACGTTTTTGTCTTTTATGTAAAAAAAAAAAAGGAAAATAAGTTTTTCCACGGAAGACTGAAAATGCTTCAAATATAATGTTTTTCAAGGATAAAAATAAAGGATTTATGAATGAGCAAAAAACTCAATTAATAAAAAAGTCTGTAAAATACTGTTTGAGCCAGCCCTATTGATTGTGACAGTTCTACTTACTAAACAGTGAATGTGTCTGGGTCAGTGTGGATGGTGCTTTTTGTCTGAGCTCTTTCACAATTCCACCACATTAGGGGCAGAGCCTGAGGCTGTGAAGAAGTACTCTAGTGCTAATTAAACTAGCGATAAGGCTGCTGCGAACATTATTTTTCTGTTAAAGCAAGCAGTAGCCTTCCTGTCAACTTGGCCTCGTGTAAAAATAGGATTGCCTTGCTTGCACTGGTTGAATGCTGTTTCTCTCTGAAAGTAAATTGAGGGCATATATTAAAGTTGTTTTTGCACTAATCACATTATGCAACACCACATATTAAGAGATGAGTCATCGAGACAAAAGCATGCGGGGAAGTAGAGAGTGAATGAGGATGTGTCTAGCTGGCCTTTCTCCATGTATGTGCCACTGTAATCACACTTGGCCCAGATGTTGAGCTTCTTCCCACCTCAAAACCCAGAGTCCCTCCACACTTCTCAAATTTAAATGGATTCCCCAACCCAGAAGGAAATGAGTCATAAAACAGGGAGGATGATTCCTCTCAGTCCTGCAGGCATCATTCTGTCACACAGATTAGACAAGCATATTGTACTGCACTCGTTTTAGCCTTTCTGTCTGCCTACCTTGCTTTACCAAAAAGCTGTCTGTTCAGATCAGCTCATTCTATATATACTTTGATATATTACTAGAACACTTGAGTACCAGATAGAACACATGCACATACTTTCAGATTTTAAATGACTTTTTATTATTATAAGGTCAAGATTCGATTCAGTTTTTGGTATTTTACTGGACTAGATGCCAAGGCTTAGCTATGATCACATTACAAACCTCTTTACTCTATTTGATTTTTCTGACTTGGTTCACATTAGTATGGGAGGTAACATCTATCTGCCATTAGTGTGAACATAGCTGTGCCCCAAAACAACCCATATGTGCATATCCAGATCAATAATAGTCATGTGAGTAGACCATGTGCTTCATGAAGAGCATCAATTAAACTAGCATCACAAGCCTTTATCACAAATATAATTCTTAACAGTGCTAACGTCTTCATTATTAGAGCAAGATGAAAGTAAACAGGTCAGATGCATTGCTTTGACAGCATTCACTGGCTTGAAGTTCAGCCTGCTCATACCACACCCAGGTTTATAATAAAGGTGTGAGGACACCTGTTGTCTAAAAATGGGTGCCTACTGCATTTAGTTACATGATGAAGTTCTGCTTATTTCATTGTTGACAGTAAGTCCTAAATCACATTGACAAGTCTGCATGATTTTAATATAGGTTTCAGCAGTTTGGGCGGTCATTGACAACTCAGTGTGTCAACGCACTGCGCCATGTTAACGGTGTGGAAAATGAGTGAGTCTCAGTTCAAATCTGACCCCCAGCATTTCGTATTAAGTGGTTCGTATAGACGTAAAAAAAAATAAGTGACTGTTGACTAGTGTTTGTTGCACAATGCTCTTAGCTCTGGTGCTAAACCAGAAACCAAACATGCCTTGGCTGATTGACTGCCTTTGGGGTAAGTGGTAAATTGTGTAAATTTTATATTTTGCTGAATGCTGAATGAT